GGCCCGGGGACCCCCGGCTGCGTCAGCAGCGAGCCCCGGCCCGCGCCGGGCGCCGCACGCCGGGACAGGCCGAGGTCAGAGCGGGTGCTGCCGTCGCCAGAGGCGAAGCGGGACAGGGCCGAGCCCCGGAGGCCAGCTCCACTCCGCCAACCTGCCTGCCTTGTTCAGCTGTCTCTTCCCATCCAGGGACCCCAGCCCGGAGCCCACCCTGCAGATCCTCTCCGGACAAGGCTCCCTGGCTGGAGAGGAGGACCACCTTTAAGCTTCCCCGGTGATGTGCAGCGCCAGGGCATGGTGAGGAGCTGTGAGCTGGCAGGGGGGGAACGCGGTGCTCATGTGTCTCTGGCCGTTGTGTGTTGCAGGAGGTTCTCGGTGCAGCGCTGCGCGAGGTGTCACCTGGGGATCTCCGCGTCGGAAATGGTCATGAGGGCCAGGGATTTGGTATATCACTTAAACTGCTTCACTTGCACCACTTGCAACAAGATGCTGACCACCGGCGACCACTTTGGCATGAAGGACAATCTGGTGTACTGCCGCCTCCACTTCGAGACGCTCATCCAGGGGGAGTACCAGGTGCATTTCAATCACTCGGATGTAGCCGCTGGGAAGGGCCCGGCACTGGGAGCGGGCTCTGCCAACACTTTGGGACTGCCTTATTACAACGGCGTGGGGACTGTCCAGAAGGGGAGACCCAGGAAAAGGAAGAGCCCGGGGCCTGGGGCGGACCTGGCAGCTTACAACGCAGGTAAGAGACCCCGTGCTCCCCCAGGAGCCGTGCAGATGGCTTGTTTCTCTTCCCCTCCGAAGGGGGATCGCAGTTTATTTTAGCTTAAACCGTTAATAATAGTTTAGCTGCAGCATAATTATTGAGATCAAGTGCTGTCAAACTGCAATTACAGAAGCTAATATGTTAGCATTTTTCACTTCAGCTGGAAATAAAATGTTTTGAAGCAAGGTCATCTGGTTAAGGAGGGGGGAGGGGGGAGAACCTAGCTTGAAATAAAATCTGGAAACCAGAGATTGTAAGTTAGCACTTCAGAGAGCTGTGAATTTCCTTTAGTAGCTCAATTCTTGAGGGCTGCTGCTGGGGTGAATGATTCTGCCCTCTCCTGAGCTCTTGCACTGGAGACTTCTGCAAAAAGGAAGTGGGGAAAAACGTGGTGCTTTCCCTGGGGCCCGAGCTGGGATGAGGGGAGCTCCGGGGCGCGCCGGGCGGGCTCAGCACTGGCAGTCGCTGCTGAAAGCAGGTGTTTTCCGCCGGGCCCCGCACCGTCTGCCCCATGACAAGTTGGGCTGGAGTTTAGTTAAGCGATGCGAGTGACAGACGGCTCCGCAGCCCCGAGTTCCCTCGCCCCGCTGAACTCCCGCTGAGATCGGCAGCAAGAGCCCGAGTCCCAGGGACGTGGCTGGGGCCTGGCGGGGCCCTCCGGGGCTGCACGTCGCAGTGGCCAGCATCCCGGGCTGCTTGCCCGGCCAGCCTCGCCACCGCACTGCTGTCACCCTGCGAGCTCGGGAAGGCCACCAGGCCCCTGCCCTGCCCTGCCCTGCCCTGCCCCGGTGGCCACTCGCTGCCAGAAGCCCTGCGATGGCTGCACCCGCCTGGCTGCGCCCAGCAAAAGGGTTTCATTTCTGGCGTAGTCTGAGCATTTCAAAGAGATGCTGGGGGCGGGGGGGGGGGGGGGGGGTGGCTCTGGGTAAAAAACCTCT